GGACAGCTCGGAGTCGGCTTGTTCTTCTTCTTCTCTCGGTTTTTTGGCGGATTGCAAACAACTTAAAGGTGCATACCGCCACCTCCGGAGTCGGCTTGACTCGGTTTGTATTTATAAAGAATGCCCACATGTGTTTAATCGTTAATGTCAGATATGTACTAAGTAAATACATGTGTTCCTGCTCAAGATTAGATTCAACTTTATTGTTATTGCAAATATTACAGGTACTGAGACAACGAAATGCAGTTTAGCTTCTAACCAGGAGTGCAAAAAGCAGTAAAGTGAAAAGTAATGTCCACAATCTACAGAATAAAATATAGAATGAATTGAATCATGAATAAACAGTGAGGGGTATGAATACACTAGATATACAGTACACAGCAGCATGTGAGCAGTATGAACAGTGTGTATGAATACACTAGATATACACAGCAGCCTGTGAGCTGTATGAACAGTGTGTATGAATACACTAGATATACACAGCAGCCTGTGAGCAGTATGAACAGTGTGTATGAATATGCTAAGATATATAAAGTATGAAAACGGTAAGCAGTGCAAGTATAGTATAACATATATAGATATTAATTTCATGATGATAAACATTGTGGAACAATGATGACAAATGTGACTGGAAGTGGCGACGTAAAACTCATACAAAACAACAACAATTTTGCCGAGCCAATTGGAGAGTTTCATCAGCAGCATGGGGTAAAAACCACCAATGAGCGCTCAGCTCGAGATACCAGCGAGTCGTTTCCCATCAAGCATTTCGCTTCCGCAGCCCGTGGAGAGGAACTGCGCCGCCTCGCCGCGCCTCGCTCTCAAGGCTGCGTGCGTCTTTGTCCCGCGAGACTTCAACCTCTCATGTAGGCGAGCCTCCAGAGCAAGTCGGACAAAATGACTAACCATCATGCAACGCACTAGCAAGACGTTGATCGCAACTGCGCAGGTCTCGCTTGTCTCAAACAAGCCTACTAACTTCACAGCAGGCGGAACTTGTCGTAAAGTCCGCGAAAATAAAGCCCACCCATTTAGAGGGAAGATATGATTGGTCAATTGTACTGTCATTAGACATTACTCTCTCATTGAGTTACTATAGCGGGCCCTCTGTGAATGTAGAGAGGGACCAACAAGCTCTCCCGTCTTCACAGTAACTCGCAGAGACGGCATTTAACCCTTCACATTCCAACAGAAACTGGCAGATTCGAAGGATTAATTTATTTGGAAATGTTATTTTAAATACAATTAAATCAAGTTATGTTGGTAAAACTAATGAAAAATATAACTAAAGAAATATTTTTTCTTTTTTTAATATTTTCAAATATTATTTTTCAGAATATCTTATGCCCTCAGAGAGGGCCTAGAGGGCCCTGAAAGCTCGCCACTGCAACACAATACACACAAATAAAACCCAGGTTGTAATAAAACATGTTTTACATTGTGTTCAGTAACAATCACAGCAGATTATTTTCTCCTCAGCCGTCCGGCCCGGGGAAGTACGTGTTTGACGGCTGTGAGCAGCACGGTGAATACCGCCCCGCTGAGCAGGTGATCACACAACCACACAACTCTTTCTCCTTACTGTGCCTGCAAACAGAAGGGATAGCATTCATGATATGACACTGAGTGTACTGAGACACAAGGTAACCATGACAACTCTCTTAACTTAAACTCCAGCCAGCGACTGATGAGGAGAATGGTAAAAATCTAAAAACACAGCGGTCCCCCTACCTAGGCTCCAGAGAGGGGTACCTCAGCACCGAGGAGGTGCTCTAACTCCAGAGTGTGTCAGTAGAGACAGGCGTGTCCTTTCTGTCTGCTAGAACAACTCCTTCTTCCTTAGTTCATCTGTTCTAAGTGCATGTTTGACTTTATATGCATGACGATCAGTCACGTTGAGTGACTTTATCAAAACTTTGTTTTGTGGCTGCACAATTTAGAAAAATGACTAGTTGTGATTGACTGATACTGCCAATGTGATATGATTTGCGATTCACATGATCATTGAAAAATAATTTTGAATGATCATTGTTGGATTTTTTTAAGAGGATCTATAACAAACAAGCATATCGTTGTATTACATTTGGATTAATTGGGCAGCACGTTACATGTAAATAAAAGTGTGTTGAAGGTGCGTACTTAATGGTGTGCGTTTTGTTTGCAAATAAAACCAAAATGAATGTTAACAATATATTGCAGAACTTTTTTCTCACAGTGTGTTCTTCATTCTATCCAGGACCGAGCTGAAGGTGAGTGGGGGGAGTCGGTCTCGCCTGCCATCCTCAAGTGGATCCCCAAGTGTGTAACCGACTTGACGCTGTGGACAGGCACACACACCTCATGTGAGCTTTATAAAAAAAAACTAGAATATAACAGACCTGCTGTAAATGTACCATCATCTGAAGGTCAGCCTTTATTGTTGATGATGTTTCTGAGGAATACATTCAACAGTTCAAAATATTGCAAACAGAGTTGATGTGCCGTTCAGTGTTAACGTGTGTTTTCTTCTGTCAGGTGCAGAAAAGGACAGGGCTTCAGCAGAGGCAGAGAACTGACATGTCTGATCAATCCTCAAACATAAATATACTAATACATTTGTAAATTAGCCTTGTCTTTTTCTTTGAAGGTGTTTAGTAGAAGCAACACGAAACATTTCCTTATATAATGTGATGCCCCTGTCTGCTAATCTCCAAACAGCTTCATATGTCTGAAATACATAAAAAGCTACCAGACCTGGTATATTCACAGTGTTCCATTTAAAAAAAGAAAAAGGTGATAGAGGAAGTTAATTAAATAAATCAAATTATTTGTAAACTATTTACAATTTAAAACAGGGTAAGAATGTGTTTTCTGTTGTTTTGTTAGGAGGTTGCTGCTTGAATGCTTTCAGACAATTTTACTGTATACTTTTTTTGTTAGGTTAGGTTCTGACAAATAAAATTACTGAAAAAACATAAATTTTTATTTAATCATTTATTTCGCAGGGACAATGCACTGTAATGAACACTTAAAACAATCAAATGCATCAAGCGTAACAGTGCCAGATTTAACCTTCAGCTAATTTATATCCGCAGTCCCTCACATAAAACATTTAAGGAAATTACATTTTACAAACAGCAAAAACAAAATACATGTTGTGCAAAAGAGCAAGAGCAGCATACACAAGTATTTATGATATGGTAATACAATATAGCAGCAACGACATATAAAGTGCAAGAGAAGATACAAGCGATGCAAAAAGTGCAAGATAAGATACCCCTGTGTTAAAGTGCATTTAGCGGTTATTGCACGTCTGTTTGTTTCTCATCCATTCTTTGAGTTGACCTTTGAAACTATTGAGAGTGGGACAATCCTGTATCTCAGTTGGGAGGCTATTCCACAATGAGCTGCCTTTAACAGAGAGGACATTTCGTCCAAAAGTGGTCCGTCTGCGGTGGACCTTACAGTCTCCTCTGGGTTCTGACCTAGTGCAGCGTCCAGTGTGTTTTTTGTGGATGAATTCCCCCAAGGGGGGGGGGTAGGTATTTACATTTATAAATATTTATATGTTTTTCAAGGATGGTACAGTGGTGGTATGAATTACATAACATATGTCCTTGACGAAAAAGACTGTATGACGGTTGAAACCTCTGAACAGGCTAAACACACATGTTATCCTGGCAGGAATTAATAGAACAACAAAAAAAAGTTTGAATAAATGGGCTCTACTACTTCCCCTTGTTTTCAACATAATATCTTTCTTACTCTTTTATTCTGAAAGGATACATCCAGAAGCTTCTACTGTACTTTAGTGTCTGTAGCATCGGGCAGGACTGCAACAGGTCAGCCTGCAAGCAAGAGGAAGAACGGGAGGAAATGAGAAAAACACAGTGGGATTTAATGTTGGTGGCACATTTGCATCATCATGTCAACCAGCTCAGATGGAAGCAATAGGGATGAAGTGGAGTGGATGATATCTAGCCAAGGCTGAAAAGGCTACTTGGAGTTGGTCGGATGACAGTGAAAATGGCAAGGCCTGCAAAAACTTCTTTTATTTTGGAAAGACAGGAAGATAGACTAATCAAGAACATGAGTGGAAAGTTATGATCATATCAAAATGGTTTTCAATATCCCCCGATTAAACTTACTAACGCAATTAAGAAAGAGATTGGTGAAATAAAGTATGCTAAGTTTATGAACAACAAGCGAGTGTTGATACAATGATGCAGCCAACAATAGGAAAAACATATTAATTTGAGTCTTTTCAGGAGTCATTAAATATGACTATGGGAGATGTTGAACAAGATTAAAGGAGGCAAAGAACCAGAGATCACAAGAGCAAAAGGGATAGCATAGCACACTAAAGAAAACACTATAAACTTCAGGGTTAGGGAATACATTCCCAAACCTATCATCGTGTTACATGTCAAAGAATGGGGCACACTGCACAGCAGTGTGAAGGACAGCTAAGGTGTGCAAGATCTGGAGGCCAACACGAGTATGGGAAATGTGAAAAGGATGCCAAGGTGAAATGTTGTAGCTTCGGGGGAGATCACAGTGCTGCGTGTGAGGGTGGTGTAGCACAGAGAGGCCAGATAAGTGCAGAGTCAAGATATTAAACAAAGGTTCATACACATGACATGTAGCAGGATAAACTGTTCAGCCCTATCACCACATGGGGCAACCTTTATAAAGAGGGGTCAGTGTCACTCTTGCTCTTTGGCACGAAGGCCACTTCCGGGTTCCGCTTACGTGCTTTCTCCGAGAAGGGTCTGTCCCTGTCACTACCCGATCTGTCCCCCTGCCCGATCTGCAGTGCGCATGTGCGAGATTGTCCGCCATATTGGACAACTCCGGACGGCAACCCAAGTAGGACACTTGACGCAGTGGCTTTTGGCAAAGCCGAAAAATAAAACTTGAGAGAGATGAGTTATTGTTATTACAACGTGACTTCACTATTATTTAACAACTCTTTTTTATTGGGTTCTTTTATTTGGGCTTAAGTACATTGTCAGAATAAGTGAGAAATGGATTTAACTTCTGTTAGACAGCTATCATACTGAATACATATTTACTGTGAATGTATGCAAAAATGTATGGCATATGGCTGTCCAACATAAGTTAAATCAATTTTAGCCTTTCCTGGCTGCTTCCAAGAGTTTTTTGTGTGTAAGGAGTCTCTGGTACATGTCTTTGCACTCAAATGTGAAGTTGACACAAATTTGCAGCTATGCCTTGACACTGTCCACATCCAGACGATTTCTCTCATTTCTCCATGCTGAGGTCATCATTGAGAACACACGTTCTGTATAGGCATTGCTACATGGGATGGAGAAGATATAGGCGCTGACCTTCCTCAGATTCACAAGTGGGACTTCTGCTTTGGAAAACAGTTTGAGATCCTCACTGTGGCATCCTTCCATTTCTGAAGAGCTGAGAATAGATACCACCATGCCATATTCCTCATAGAGTCCATCCATGTCAATGTCTTTCAGGCTGCAGGCTTGGACTGCATCACTGTATTCTCCATAGGACACAGCAGTTTTGAGAGCTGTTGTATGAAAGCTGTTCTCAGATAAGTCATACCTTTCACTCACGTATTTCTTGGCTCTTTCATAGAAAACAAGAAAATCAGCCTCATATTTCTTTGCCAGATCAGGGGTTAGCTGCTTGAGTTTGTTGTTCACAG